AATACAAGAGAAAGCATATGAAGATGAAGATCCATAAAACTCACAATCAGGAATTAGGATGGAGATTTGAAACAACCAAACTGAAGATTTACAGATCCAGATTCAAGATTCATTATTCAAGTCAGAAATCAATTGATTAAGGTATATTTCGCGTTAATTCAGTTTCTTGATGGTTTGACATGAAGATCTTGACAAGATCATAAAGTTTAAGTTTCAATAAAGTTCCAACATATCTTACGTGCAAATAAAAAAAAATTCTTACTTTTTAACCACATATTATTTAAAAAATAACTATTCAAAATATCATTTTCCCTTAATTTCTTTTTATAATGACCCTAGAACAGGGGCTTAATGTTATAATATGTTCAATTTTTTCGTGAAAATCAAGACATTAAGGAGCTAGAATAAATAAAGCTATTTTTAAGTGAACTATTTACAAACCCAAGTATTTTGTTATTGAGAAAAATAACTAAATAAAAGACGAATGATAATCAACTAGGATAAAATTAAAATCAGAACTTATCAGACTAATATGGCAATTGTCATAACTTATCAGACTCGAACTTAGACAGTTTGATGAAGAAGGAACTAGAATTCCATATACCATCTACAATATGCATGTTTATGAGAAAACCACATATAGAATTGTTGAGCAAAACAATATAAATATAAAAAAGCCATATAAAAAAAATTTCTCAAATTTCAGCGGGGCCAAATCCCACCGACCCTCATCTCCCTCCACCACTGTGCACACAGAAATATATATGTATATATGCATGCATGTGGGTATACATACATATATAGAGAGAGAGAAAAAGGGGAGGGGGAGGGGGGTTTTAAAGAATGAAGAGAATTACTTCGTTTGAGTAGTCTGGGGTGAATGCTTGAGTTCCCATGGCTCTGAACTGGACAGAATCCCAGGACTTACGAGAATGATTATCTAGACTCCGAAAATTATGAAACCACGGATTATGTTATATGAGTAATGAAATGCCACTCCAGCGACAATACTTACACACATATATAAATGTAGAGACAGAACGCGATGCTTTTGACTTACGACAATGGCTCTTTTGGTAAACGAATAGTTTAAGGAAGATGTCAGATATGTAATGAGCTGTATCTTCCAAGAAAATTCTAAGAAACTGTATGAAAAGATTCATCAGCCAATCATATCATTATTACTGGGTAGGAGATTAGTTGAATTTTTCCGTGCAGAAAAAATACAGATGCTCACATGGTATGGGCCCCATGTGAGTAAAATATTGAAAAAAAAACAACCGACCCCCTATTGGTCAATCCAAATTGGCGTCCCAATATCGGTTCAACCTCGTCATTCCAATCAAATTCTCCCGCACCTAACACCATCCTATAAAATAAAAATAGAAATCAAATCACTCCGTAAATCCTATAGTTGATATGCTTCAATAAATGATTATTATCATACCTTCACTATGACATCTCCGAAATTACGATTAGGATTCTTTTCAATGTGTGATGCTTGTAGCTTCATATACACACCTAATCTACATATGAGGTGGGATTGAGTATCGTTCACACTACCAGAAGACATTTTGTGCTTATCTTTTATTATATTCTTACAACAACATCACAGCTCTCATAATCTTCAAAACACACTCCAATGTTCAAAATACACTCCAGTGCAATAAAAACCTAAAACATGCTTCATTGAATAAGAAATCATTAGAGGCTCGGACATATTTCATTTACCAAAATTGATCTCGTGCCCATCACTGACATGGCGTTGCCATTAAATAATAACAAAGCGGCACCATGGTTGCAAATCACTGGTTGAATGAGAAATAGAGACAATATATCCTACTGCCATGTCGTCCAGGTTTCCATGCCAAGATACAAGTCGAAATTTGGGATAATCCAAATCAAAGTTTCATGAAATCAACATCCCAACCCCTTCATCTTCGACTAGCAAATCCTAGAAATGATTTGCACATGCCTGTACAAGTCAAAATTTCACAAAATTATCATCATGACATCTATATTTTCCACTAAAAATCACAAAAAAATTGTTTGCACATCCATGTCTTAATCGCCCACTCACCCTATTAACTCGCCGGATATTTTAGAAAATATGACAGCAGCGGATAAATCCTAAACCTCATCCCTCCCTGTGACAATCATCAAGCCAAAATTGTCAACCCCACACCATCAACCAGAAAATCTGATGGATCCTTATCTCAAATATTAAAAGAACCATGGAAACATCAAAGATAATACATTGGAATAAGGGATGGGGAAGAGGGAATATGTGGCAAAGGTGGGTACGACGTTAAAGGTAAATGGGTAGTGGGAGAGGAAAAAAGTGGCAAGGATAAGATGCGGTGGAAGAGGAAAATACAGTGTACAATATAGCAGATTACAGCGATGATGAGGGCACGATGTGAAGTCCGATGATGAGGACGGTAGCACAAGGTGAAGTTCGATGAAGAAATACCAAACACAACAACGAAATAATGGAAAGGAAAGGGTGGTTTTTAGGTAAATAACAGGGAAATGGGGTATGGGTTTTAGGAAAAGAATAGGGAAGGAGAGTCGGTTTTAGGGAAGGAGAAGGAAAATTTAGCCAATTTTTTTAATTTATGGAACCACTGATGTGGTAGGGCACAAATTCTCGTACCCACTGAGGACGAGAGATCAGTTGTAATTACAAGTACATTTAGTGTAAAATTTGGGCATAGATAGAGGTGCAAAATGTCTAAGCATTCATACTCTTATAGAGATATTAATAAAAATAAAATGGCATCAGTTGACCTCATTTTTTTGTATGGGATGTGGTCAACCGATTTCATGTCCTCTCACATCCACATAAGTCTTGCTCTTATACACTTGACAAATTGTAATTCATACTTCACCTTCTACGATTGTGGGAGAAACGACCACATACACTCTGACGGCCAAGTCAGTCAATATATAGGTGTTTAAGTGTAGGACATGTTAAAAACATGAGCCACTAAGTGTAGAGAGGTCGGATTTGAGAGGATATGTAGAGAGAATAATGAGAGCAAATTTATAATTTCAGTATATGAAGTTGCATTATTTTCAAATGATACTAAGTGTGAGCCTTTAAAGTAGAAGAAGTAGAATACTATCATTGGATGGAAAGATACTTGGCTACATCTTAATGGTTGAGATGTTCACTATTAGTTGTCCATCCAGCCATCATAAGCAGGATGTCATTTAGTTGTCATATCTTACGTATTGTCCACTTCGGGAGAGTTTAGGCCCATCTTACCCCTCACGGCTTTCTGACGCTTCCCCCAAGATTCGAACACAAGACCTCCATCATATGAGAGACTTAAGTTGATCCTGCGAATCCTGGGGGACGCGTCAGAAAGCCGTAAGGGAATAAGTGGGCAGAAGCCCACCCCAGAGCGGACAGTGCGTAAGATAACGGTTCCAGTGAGAGGCTGGGTCGTTACAAAAAAAGCGCGCATTTTTTGTAACGACTTGACCTCGCGCCGGAATCGTCATCATATCTTACGTATTGTCCACTTCAAGAGAGCCTAGACCCATCTTACCTCTCACGACTTTCTAACGCGTCCCCCAGGATTCGAACCCAAGACCTTCATCATTTGGAAGACTTAAGTTGAATCCTGGTATCAATTGTACAGTATGCGCTCTGATGATCAAGTCAGTTAATATATAGGTATTTGAATGTAGGACGTCTTAAAGGCGTGAGCTACTAAGCGTATAGGGGTCAGATCCGGATGGTATGTAGAGAAAATAATGAGAGCGAGTTTATAGTTTGAGTATATAAAGTTACATTACCTTCAAATAACGCTAAGTGTGAGCCTTTATAATAGAAAAGATGGAATACTGACCATTAGATGGAAAGACGTGTGGCCTCATCTTGATGGTCGAGGTGTCCATCCATTTATCATAGGTTTTATGGCATTTAATGTTTTTGAAAAGTAGCAACCCTATATCCTGGTCTGACCTCTGAAACATAGAGTGATGATTTGACCTTATGTGTCTGCTGCATAAATGTCACATCAATCAATCATAAGCGAATTTAGTAAGGAAGATCTCTTGGAAAGATATAAAGTGGGAGATGTCTTTTGTCAATAAGGAGGTTGTTGTCCTCAAACTCATTCCCATGCAACATGCGTAGCACCTCGCCTAGACCATAGAGATCGGCTTCTACATGGCACCTCGGCTGGGTTGGTGCATCACCTCAATTACCTTATATATGGCCTCACTGTGGCTAGGTAGAAGGCTAATGTGGAGTGTGGGGCTGATTGGCTTGCTAGCTAGTTGCCCGTGGAAATGATCGGAGCCTCGTCAGAAGAGGCGTAACAGGTTTACTAATGAATCTGGTTGGGACTCGACGCATTAACATATCTTCATTCATCTCTTATCCATACATATATTACATGCATACTTTTACAAACATGTTATTGTCATAATCAAGATTTCTCCAAGAAAAGGAGAGGCTACTATCTTATGCACTTCAACGCTCAAGTCTAATACGAAATAGAAATTAGGCATGGGAGGAACACAAAATAAGGAGAAATGTAGGAGTAGAGTTTGTATTTCTAGAATGAGAAAAATAAGTCGTCAATTACCTTCAAATGATGTCGAGCTCTTACTAATGTTAGACACGTGGCCTCATCTCATTAACTCATAAGTCAAACACCATGACATCACATCAGAACCTTCATAGGTGTGTGACCTTTGCAAGATAAAGGAAATTTAATTCCCATCCGCCCTTGTAAAGATGTCAAATTAAATTATTCGTTTAGGCTCAATGTGTCAGATTACAGTTTACAAAAGACATTAGGATTTCAGATGCTGAGTGCCTCGAATTCTGGAGCCCCATCTGAAGTGGCTAAGGGGTTGGTCCCTTTGATCGCTTCGGAGGGAAGATGTGACAAGTTTGCACAAAAATACAATGCCTCAAGGTTGTTGTTGAGAAGGCATTAGGCTACTATCTCAAAACCTCAAAGATGAAGGGGATTGTGGCGATGGTATATAGCCTCATCACCGTAGGCATGAAGGGGGAAGAGGAGACACTCAGATTGCCACTCGCCTAAAAAAATAGGTGTATGTCCTGGTTTTCAGTATAGATGGCCGGCACGTGGCTTGCCATGGGAATAGACACAACAGATGATAAATTTTCTAGTTTCCAAAAATAATGGGTACTTTGATGTTTAAAATTGTAGCTTTATTCCTATCAATTGTTATATTGATAGGTTTCATAAAATTGTTGATTAATGAAAACTTGTACTTCAAAGAAGCAATACTTGGCTAGTATTAACAAAATTGAAAAAAGAATAATAATAAAAATTATGTTACAAAATTTATCATGGACATAAATGAAAATTAATTACTATGATATAAAAAAGTTATCAATCCCGATTACTTCTTGTTCTTTATAGGGTTAATTTCACAAATGGTCACTGAAGTTACCTGAAAATTTCAAAACGGTCATTGAAGTTTCAAAGTTTCAGAAACGGTCACTGAAATTTGAAATTTCTTTCAAAACGGTCACTGAATTTTCAGATTTTTTGGTCAAGTTTGAGGCAATTTTTCTGCAACTTCCGACCACCAAAACCGCCTATTTCGGATACCATTGGAAAGCCCACGATGTTCTTTTCAATTACCACCAAAAATCTCTCCAAAACTCCAAGTGATTCGGCCGGAATAAAGCCACGAAGTCGGCAACTGAAAATTGCCTAGATTTTCAAATTTTTTGGGCAAGTTTGAGGCAATTTTTCGGCAACTTTCGACCACCAAAACCGTCGATTTCGGATACCGTTGAAAAGCTTACAATGTCCTCTTCAATTAACATGAAAAATCTCCCCAAAACTCCAAGTGATTCGGTCGGAATAAACCCACGAAGTCACCTACCCAAACTGGGTAGATTTTCGGACTTTTTTGGTAGCTGACTTCGTGAGTTTATTCCGGCCGAATCCCTTGGAATTATGGGGAGATTTTTGGTGGTAATTAAA